TAAGAATCTCTCCCGTTACTGACACGGAAGCGGAACAAGATACAGCCTCACCAAAATAAACACTTTTTTAGTTGTTTTTTTCATTCGGCCGCGTATTAAAATAATGAAAGTTTATGATTTTAGATTACGATTCTCTATAAAACAAACTGAAACGTTATGAAACAATTTTGAGCAATTGTAAGTATTCCATTCTCAAAATCTTGATTACCTTTCTAATTTAGATCGTGCCTGAATAAAAACGTGTATGTTAGACTACGATAGTGATTCTTTTTTACAAAATGGAGGGTCTGTAAAAGGGTTTGGGTTTTGTGTCTGGGCTAGAATAGAGTTTATATAATACAAAATACAACTGAACGTGGTCTTGAATATATGGTTGGGGGAGTCCCAGCGGCAAATCCTACCAAAGTATTTACAAATGCAATCACCCGGGGTCCTGGCGCGACCTAAAATTCCTTTTTTTTTGGTCTGATCCCCCCCATTATGCTTGTCAATTACGGCTGATCCCCCCTAAAGGTCTTCAAAAAACCATGTGATCCCCCCCTAAATACTCCGACCCCCCCCAGGCGATAAATAATGACCGGTCCCTTATATAACAACTAGTTCCTGATGTTTAGCAACGACAATTAGAAAGCAAAGAAGGCGTCTCCAAAAATGAATTCACATCGATTGAATATTTCAGTTGAAGTCATTCCAATAAATTTGGTTTAGAAAGAAATGAATGGGAAAAATCAAATTCTACAAAGTCGTGCTTCAATGAGATGACTGGCTAAAAACGTTCTCTTTGCCTTCATTGTCATCAACTGCTTTAAATCCTAGCAAGAAAATAAATTGACGGCAACTTACGTTTAGTTGAGTCAGGCTCTTGCATCATTCTCAACTTTCCCATTGTTCATTTCCAATCATCCTATTCAAGTTTCTAATCCTCCAGTTTTCATTTCCTTCCTTGGACCCTGTAAATAAACATGTCGATGTATTACTTAATTGTCGTACGCCATTAGTGAAGGAAAAAACTCTGGGAAAAAATTATCATTAAAATTAACAGGGACGGAAATTTCTCATTTTACTCAAAGAAGTATATGTCTTTTAGCAAATATACACCGAATGCAAACATGGCGACCAATTTGAGTTGCCATTGCTCTGGACTCACTAGCCTCTCACACATGTAATAATCCTTTTGTGTTTTCCACGTGAAGAAGAGGCTAGTAAGTCCAGAACAACGGCAGTTCAAATTGGACGCCATATTTGCATTCGGTGTAATAGTACATACTTTTTTTTCACGCTCGAGTTGTATAGAAAATCATTCCAAAATCTTTTTTTGGGCTTCACTTGCCATTAAATTTGTTTCGCATAGTTTCCTAACATGAATTTCTAAGTGATTGTTTCTCACCTTTGTCTGCAATTTTGTGGTCTGCGTGTTTCCTCTCTCACATTGACCATGAGAACAGCACAACCCTAAAATTAATCAAAAATACAAATCATTCAATCGTCGCCGTTGAATCATAGAAATGGAAAATACAATTGCATTTCTTCTAGTTAAATCACAAAATTTAGAAAATGACTCCATAATTTACAAACGAAAAAAAATCCTTACTTTTCGCTATTTGGGTCTCTCATCTCTTCGCTGGTCAGCACATGTACGATGGTTGTTTTTTTTTTTTCTATGAAAAATGAAGAAATACGATACGAATAACTTCATTTGTAAATTAGTAATTTCATTCCATAACATATAATGTGATCCGAATGTTATAATTTGCAAACTTTTAAAGGTGAACTTGCTAAAAACAAAAAGCAAGATAACCAATGCTTATTTTTTTAAGTTCTTGGTTCTCTCGCCTTGTGTGATAAATTCTACCACAGTGATTAAGTGCCCGGAAAGATTTTCGTATAACCCCATACCAATCAAAAACAAAGCAGTAGTCCCAAAGGAAATCTGTTGTTTTGCCTCTGCTTTCCTTTATCCAAGAATTGAATGCATAATCAAGTATGGGGTTATACGGAATTCTTGCCAAAATAACTCTGAGAAAGGTATTACAACAGTCGAGGGACTTTATTAAAAAGCGGCGAATTATGCAAACGGAAAGTCAAAAAACTTTACGTGAGCATCTCGAACAAATTCTACCTCTTAACAGTGATTCATTCGCTCACCTCGTCTCAAATAATTTCTATTTTGCAAATATCGTTCAGTTCTTCAAATTCGGTGGCTTGAACTTTAGATAAGGGAACGTCCAGCTTGAAAATATTTCCTGAAGCGGTTTTGAGCACTGAAGTTGGTTGAATACATCGATATTCTGTTCGAAGAAGGACAACACCTCCGTTCCACTAGCAACATGCCACACTAAACCTATGTGTGCGAAAAACGCGAATGTATAATTAATTTTGAACATTACCTCGCCCNCAATGTAAATGTGACCCTCTCGTCTCAAAAGTTTGTACAAGACAGCTGTTGTATTCGACTCCCTGACGTGCCGTTTCATTGATTCATTTTGAACTATTGATTTACCAACCGCAGCCTTCTGCTGGATAATGACTTGTATGAACTTACCTTTTTAGCGGAAGAAACCCGCCCAAGTCGTTCGACCAGAGGAATAACTAGATGCTGCTGCATTGGTAAACAATGCAACTTTTCTGTCCATCGATCACAAAAAATGAAATAATCAAGATTACGCCCTGGCTTGTTGGTAAACATCCTCACCATCCCCATGTTCTTTCTTGAAGAAAAAAGGAAAGAAACATCTTTGTCAGTGCTCTGCTGTAGCCTCCTGCGTGGGAATGGGAACTTGGTCAACAGGTGTGGTTCAGATTCTAGCACCAAAGTATCAAAGTGAGTATTTCATACCAAGAAAAAGAAAGAAAAGGAGTTGACAGTATAGTATAAGAATGTAATAGTAAGATGTGAATGATTAACCTTTCTCTACCTTGAGTGAGTCTTTAGAGATAGTAAAGAGCTAATACTTAAGAAATGGTGGAACGAGTGTCAAGGTGATAGTTATCAATAAAAGGGTGGTCCAGGCATTTAGAGGTAAAATGGCCCTTAATTACTGAATGCTGCTGCATGAATTGAACAGGAGTTTTGCTACCCCCTCTCCCCCCTCCAAAAAAAAAAACCCTCACTGACTAGTATAAGTTATTCCAAACTTCCGCTAAAAATGGACATCACAAGTGAGGGCTTGAGGAGTTCATCTGATGTTGTGCAGAAACAACAAACTGTGCAGAAGGTTAGGGGGCAGAGGCAGGAAGGCAATGTAGGTATTTCTGAACATAGTTTGAACATCTCAAGTGGAGAATCAAAACCTAAAGAACCAGAACCAGAGCCAAACCATTGTGAGTTGTTAACATTTCATCGGATCATATGCAGTGTTCATTGAAAGAATCATTTCAGGAAGCCTCCTTTGCATGATGAGCTAAACTCTTTTCTAACTAACAAATTGTTAGCAGCACTAATCATCAGTTAATGGTAGTCACCTTAGGAAAGCTCATTCAGGGGTATAGCATGCATATTTTGTGGAATACACACTTGAGGGAAAGTAAATGGTAGCACTGAGCTGAATGATATTTTAGATATTCACACAGTTTCTACTTCATCTTTATATCATAAAATTCAGGCAACCTAATTAAGAGGTATCTGTGTAAACAGCTGTGGTGTTCGGATGGCACGAGAAACGGAGATATATTCTTGGATTTCAACACAGAACTTTTAATATTTTCTAACATGTGTCGTCGCCATTACCGGAAGTGATTATACATCGAATCATGAACGGAAGCGAGGCTGAATTAATGTAAACGTAAATCGAATACAGCACACTACCCATCTGACA